AGAATTAGTATTGGCTCAGCCTATCAAAGTCCAATTTGTTTGTAGTCAAGATCAATTGGCTGACATTCATACCAAGTCTTTGTCCAAAAGCCTGTTTAGCTATCTCAAATCCAAGCTTCCACTTGGTTCAATGATTGATCCCAAGCTTAGCTTGAGGGGGTGCATTAAGGCAAATGCTAAGCTAGCCAAACAGGTCACTAGTTAGTTATAACTGTAAACAATTAATTGTGGTAATTGTGTAATTAGTTGTAGGAGCCAAGGGCATTAGTGCAGCAAGTCTCTGGCTATATATATCCTCTTCTACTGTTGTAATTATTTAAGGAATGAAAATTTGTTTTTTACAGAGAGAGAGAGTTTCTGTTTCTTCACAGCTGACCCCAACCGAAGCTAGATTCGGTGCCACCGGAGATGCTTTGATCTGAAAGTCTCACAGAAGTAGCGAGAAGGACTCTCACTTCAGAGAGAACAGCTCTCACTTCGGAGAGATGAATTTTGTTTTCTTAATGATGATTGATCATTGCTTTGTCGCAAGAAAGGTTATGGAAAAGGGAAGAGGTCATATTTCTTAGTTTTGCACATGATTTAGGGCCATGCACAACCCCTCTCTAGCTCTAGTTATATTGGTTGCCTACTAATCTCACTCGCTGTTAAATCTCAAACTCCATCTCGCATGCCTAGCTTCTTCAGGCCCTTGCTTTTGGCATGTTCTTATTACTGCTATAATACCAGCTCATTTTACTTAATTGCCTTATGTTTGAGATGTTACTGAAGTTGCGCTCCCAGTCTTGAACTCAGGCTACTGGATTGTGAAAACCAACACGTTACACGAGACCGGTATTACGAGGGTGCTAGTCTAGGTTGCATGGACACTCCAACACACCTCAGACACATTCTAGACACGGCTTGGACACAGTCAACATACGGCTTAAACACGGTCAAGATATAGCAAGGGCCTTTTTTGTAAATTTAAAAAACATATTTGAGAAATTTTGAAAATATTGAAACTAAAACCTAAAAGAGTCTTGACCTCAACCTAATTTGTTGCTTAATTTTATTTAGGGAAATGAGTAGTACTTTGTTATATTATGAATTCGAAACATTGTTTTTAATATATGTAATTTATATATTTTAATCGCCGTGTTCTAATATTGTTTGTATACTTGCTTTTTGAGATTTGCCGTGTCACCATGTCGCGTGTTGCCTTATTCATGTCCATGCAACATAGATGCTAGTAATTATGTATATATCCTAGCTGTTCTTTTCCTAATTAAAAACATATCAAAGAGAGAGCTCCAGATCTTCAACAAAAAAGAGATTAGATGCAAAAGAAGTGGTTAAAATAAAAACAGAGGTATTTTAGAATACCTCATTTGCCTTTAAGGCCTCTACAGAGGTGTAGAGAAATGGGAGGAATTGGAGTGGATTGGCCGCCAGTTTCGAACCCAGGACAAAACTGGATTTTGAATGTAGCACAAAACCAACATGCTTCAAGAGACTGGCGTTAAGGTGGCCTAAATAATTAATATTATACGGAAGCCAAGTTCAGTACTCCAACACACAAAGTGCCTAACCAATAAAAGCAGTCTTCTCACGCTTTCAAGACATGACTAAAAAGTACTCAATAATTTAGCAACATAGTATCCGTTTGTTTATTTTATGACTACATCTAATTTTTATATTAGACTGCTTACGTATTTTAAGATGTGATCAAGCCATTCATAGTACGATATTCATTGATAACGAGGAGAATAAGTACATCATTAAGGATAGGATGCATACAATGGACCTGATAAAAACATTGCCAGAAATTTCTGCACGGTTGAAAGGAAAAAGATCATTCCGTACCTAAAATATTAAGAAATACTATGCTCAAGCCGGAGATCATGAATTATGTCAGGGGTTCTTCAAACCAAATTCCAGAATTCTCCGAAGTCAAGCTCATTCTTGCGAGTTTGTGAGCAATATTATTCGTCTCCCGTTTGCTAAAATAAATCTTCATCTATGGTATGGAATTCATCACCCTGCGTGTGTCCATAATAATATGCCCAACTGGGGACATGTCGTCCTCCCAGCCCGCTGCAATGCCGCCATAACCAGCAGTGCGTCCCCCTCCATTTCCACCGCCATGAGCTTCAGTTCCTGCACGGAAAGGGCCGCGTCTCTGGGTACCACAAATTCTGCCAGAAGCGGGGAAGCAATTCCGCAGTGGATCTTCACCGCAGCTGCAATACAATCGCCCCTTTCATTTCGTACGACCATCCCAACACCTCCCAGACCCCGTTGCTTCCCCCAAGCCCCATCGATATTGTACTTGGCCCAGCCCATAGCAGGTGCCTTCCATTTTTGCGCGTTACCAGGGTTCGGTTTATGCTTCCACCCGTGCCATTTTTAAAACTCTTGTAGCCAGCAACTTGCACTGCATCTCCAATGGATTTAAAGCCGATCCTCTCCATAATTGGCAAGAGAGAGTTCTGACTCCTGGTTGCTGCAATGAGAGAACCTGAAATGATGATGTCTTTACTTACATGCAATGAGAGAACCTGAAATTGTTTGAATCTTGGATTCCCTACAACATGGGTATTAGAATTATTCTAAATGCCTTATTTCCCTTGTATTTACTTTCACAAGGTGATTTCCTCCCCACTCATGCATTGGGGGTGGGGAATGCCCTACTCACCTAAGGTCTTAGGAGCATGCTTAATTTGACCTTAATTTGATCATAAATCTTTCACCCACTTGACTTATCCTCCATACAACCAATTAGTTTAATGCTCCGCTTACAAACTAATACATGTAGGATTAAAATAAAAAATAAAAAATAAAAAAGTGTTCATGCTCCATATTAAAGTTCAAAATTCCACACTTGAAAAATCCGGAATTAGATTAGATAAGCACTAAATGATCCCATACCCAATCCTTATTTCCCGTCTCAATTCATGATTTTCCTTGTTACAATTTAGTAAACACGCCATCAATCCCTAAGCCATGTGGATCTCCACTACTGATAGGTTTATATTGATCGTTTGTTTTTAAGGAAAATTAATGAAAGGGGCTTCAAAACTTTGAGTTTTAACCAAAAACCACCTACTAACTTTATTCAATGATAAGGACAAGAGAAAAAAAAAAAAAAATACATAACGAAAGTTTGGTGCAACTCCTACTTACTACGCCAAGTACGCCCGTGAGAACTTCGTCAATTACAGAGAGGTCGAGGCCAACGACAACCAAGCCCTCCACGAGCTTTTCCTCAAGGCCTACAATCAATCCCTCTGGGTCCCCAACAAGGTAAATAATGCTGTATGATCCAGATGAATATGGAAGGAAAGGTTACAAAGAATAAACAGAGTTTGATTTTTCTTTTTGGTCTTTTGTCGCGGTTAATGCTTCTATTGGTGTAAGCTAGAAAGATCTCACTCCCAAGTCCCCAACCCACTTTGGCAATTATCATTGTGGACGTAGTGACCTTGTTGTCATGTTCTACTTTCAAGTTTCTTTCTGAAACATCATATATATATATATATTTTTTTTTTTTTGTGTTTTCGACACTTTTGTGTGAGTTTCTGGTAAACCCAATTGGGGTTTCTTGCAATTGCAGTACTCAGTGGACGAATCTGCGACCGATAAGTTGAAGAAAATCTACTCCACTTAACGTGCCTGCCAAGTGTTCAATGTAATGCCCGAAAAATCATGAAGATATCTAGGTTGGAAAATGTGACTAAAGTTATAATAATGGAAAAACTTGAATTAACTGAGTCATCATCTATGCCAATATATGTGGAATACTTTTGTAAAGTTTTCAGAAAACCTAATGCCAACATTGATAAGGGGAAGAAATAGAGATTTGTTCAGAGTTCAAATTGATTTTGCATTTAAAATGTAAGAGAGAAACGAACACGTGTGCATAGCCGTAGTGGTTGAAAGGATGTGCAACACAACAGAACATCCACCATCGAAAAGGTGAGGCCCTTGAGGGCTTCGATGGTGCCCTCTTCTCCATTGGGCATGAATTCGCTATAGCCATCCGTAGCAGTCCCTCTTATGGCTGCTACATGGTTCTTAAGGCACTCCTTGTAGTAAGTTTTCATAAACTGTGTCGTAAGTTTTATAAATAGTGTCATAAGTTTTCATAAACAGTGTAGTTTCATAAACAGTGTCCTAAGTTTCATAAACAGTGTAGTAAGTTTTTATAAACAGTGTAGTAAGTTTCATAAATAGTGTCCTAAGTTTCATAAACAATGTAGTAAGTTTCATAAACAGTGTACCATGAGTCCGCGCATCAGATTTTTGGTCCTTTTTATTAAAATTATGTCTTTTTCATTAAAATTCAACTTCTTTTGTCCTTTTTATTAAAATTTAAGGGGTTTTCATTAAAATTTAAGTTTTTTTAATTAAATAAAGTTATAGCATGGTTTTTTATTAAAATAAACTTAGCACAAGCCATTTTCATAAAAGTTCCCTTGCTTTTAATACATTCGATATTACTTATACTAAGGGGTTGGGGGATTAAACATTAAAATGGGTTAGCCATAATAATTTGGCTTGAATTTATCTTTGCCGAAAATCGAATATAAGGCCTTTTAATTATAAATAAAAAAGAATACCACTAAACTGTGACTTATATTAATAGCATTATCCTTCTAGTAATCCTACAATTCAAAGAGAATACATAAATAAAATCCTAAAGCGACATGGGTTGAGACATTAAAGACGGAAAACAAGCATCACGATTCTTTCCCAAATTAAGACAGTGTAAAAGCGGAAAGAAAATCGTAAACTTGCCAAAACGATTGGAATAATTAATTATTTTTGTTATTATAATACAAAATCCTAACTTTATATAGAATCTGGGCATGTACAGAGCAGCATTCACCTCCCTATAAATTAAAACGCATGATTTGCTTCAACTCAGGCCACTGCTTCTCACTCTACAACGTTCTCTCTCTCTCTCTCTCTGCCTTTCTGATCTGTTCGTCGGTTTTTGAACTAGCAATCGACCTACAATGAAGATTCGGGGCAAAAACATTCTGCTTGTGTTGTTATGGGCTTTCGCTTTTGCAGGTTTGCTTTGTATTTCTATCATCTTGTCATGAAAAATTGACTTTGAGCTTGTGTAAAGCTTCAGAATGAAGATTAAACGCTTATTGGCACGGTCTCTCATTATTGTTAATTTTGGTGTTAATGTTGAATTCGTTTGGTGGGGCCCATCGACCGAGCCTTCTGGGGAGAATAGCTTCCCTATCATCAATTTTATACAGCCAGTTACACCTAAAAGGCACAATCGAGGTCAACACACTTATAAGTTGCCCTAAGCAAGGGAACAATACTGCTATTGACGCTGATGAGCCATAACTTGTGCCTCAAGGAAAAACAGTACTGCTATTGTTTGATTCTGCTATCATAGGAGGATTTTTTATTTTGCATTTAAGCGATATCAAAATTATTACCTTGACAACATTATGTTTTAATTTTATTTCATCACAACATAATACGATGAACAATTAAACAATTGCTTTGTGCTTTACAGGGTTTGAAGTAAATTGCTTATCCTACGATTACACAGCCAGTATTGAGGCAAGTTTCCCAACAATTGTTTTGTAAAGTTTACATAGAGATATCAATTAAATCTAACAAATTTGTGACCTCTCTTGTTCCTCTTGTTTACAGTGTTTGGCAAAGCCTCACAAACCACAATATCGCGGAGGAATCATTGTAAACTCGGAACTAAATGATGGCCTGAAGGGATGGTCTGCTTTCGGCAATGCAAAAATACAACACCGACATTCAGAAGGCAACAAATTCATTGTGGCATATGGTAGAAACCAGCCACATGACAGTATTTCTCAGAAGACCTACTTGCATAGAAACAAGCTCTACACCTTCTCTGGTACTTACCCAATTACTCTCTTTTTTACTGATTAATGATATAATTATTAGTTAATTAACAAATCAGTCGATAATTGTACAATATATCTGGTTTGCGTTGGTGCAGCTTGGATACAAGTGAGTAGCGGTAGTGCTCCGGTGACAGCAATTTTCAAGACGAGTAGCGTATTTGTACATGCTGGTGCAATTGTAGCTGAATCCGGTTGCTGGTCCATGCTCAAGGGTGGCCTGACTGTCAATGCCACGGGTCCTGCCGAGCTCTACTTTGAGGTATTTGTTTTAGCTATTTGTACGACATTTACTGATTTTTTTTACGTTACAATGAATTAGCACGTTAATATCTTATAACTGACAATTGTTAAATTAATAATTCAGAGCAAGAATGCATCTGTTGGAATCTTTGTTGATAGCATCTCCTTACAACCATTCACTGAGAAGCAGTGGTATTCTCATCAACAACAAAGCATTGAGAAGGTGAGTTTGATCAGGCCATATAATTAATAGTTAAACAAGGCTAATTAAACACATATTAACTGGCTATACTCTTTTTACAGATTCGTAAGACGAATGTGAGAGTTCGAGCAGTCGATGAGCAAGCAAATCCACTAGAAAATGCAACAATAACCATCCAACAAAGGGCTGCAGGCTTCCCTTTCGGCGTCGCAATCAACAAGAACATCTTAACCAACACGGCCTACCAAAACTGGTTCACTTCAAGGCCCTTCACAGTCACGACATTCGAAGATGAAATGAAATGGTACAGCACGGAGCCTTCTTGGGGCCGTGAGGACTACTCCGCTGCTGATGCCTTGCTTCAGTTTGCAAAACAACACAAGATTGCAGTCCGAGGCCACAACGTGTTCTGGGACGATCCTCATTACCAGCCCAGTTGGCTCAACTCCCTCTCTGGCCGACAATTCTCTGATGCCACGTACAAGAGGCTCAATTCTGTCATGGGAAGATACAAGGGACAAGTCATTGCTTGGGATGTTTGTAACGAAAATTTGCACTTTAACTTCTTTGAGAGTAAGATGGGTGCAAATGCTTCAGCTGAATTTTACAATTGGGCTAGTAAAGCCGATGGAACAACCACATTGTTTTTGAATGACTACAATACCATTGAGGAGAGTGGAGATCAAGATTCGACACCAGCTAAGTACCTTCAGAAGCTGCGAGACATACAAGGGTTTCCTGGTAACGAAAATGTGAAGATGGCGATTGGTCTCGAGTCACATTTCAACACTCCTAACATTCCTTACATTAGATCTTCTATTGATACTCTTGCTGCTGCAAAGGTGCCGATTTGGATTACAGAATTGGACGTCAGTAGTAGTCCCAATCAGGTAAAATACTGCGCCCTTCCAGTTTCTACCCATTGCATAATTGATTTTGCATTCGATACGAATTTATTTATGTCACACGTGAAGGGAAGTATTGATTATATAAATAAAAATCACAATTTTGCGGATTTGCAAACTTTTGTTTTTTGGTTGTATATGCAGGCATCATACTTGGAGCAGATTCTTAGGGAAGTGCATGCTCACCCTCAGATTCAAGGCATTGTGATTTGGTCCGCATGGAAACCTTGGGGCTGCTACAGGATGTGTTTGACGGACAACAATTTCAAGAACTTGCCCACCGGTGATGTTGTTGACAAGCTCTCACATGAGTTTGGTTTAACTTCTGACGAAATGTTTGGCACGACGGATGCTAATGGTTTCTTCGAGGCCTCCCTTTTCCAAGGCGACTACGAAGTGAAAATTACTCATCCTTTCGTAAACCCCACCTTGGTTTGGGGTTTGAATGTGGCACCATCTGTCGAGTCCCAGCAACAAATGCAGCTTCAAGTTAATGTTTTGAGTTCTGTTCACTAGGGAGTTCTGTTCATTTTTGTTTATTAGTAGTGTAATGCTAAGAAGACTATTTATTTAAATTATATTCTGTAAACCATATAATGTGGTTGGCAATTAATTTTTTTTAGTTTGTGCTTAAAATTTACTGACAAAAATGTTTGTTCTCTTTTGTAATGAATGACAAAACATTTGTTCATTACTTAGGCTACCTATGTAGGGATGACAACGGATCGGTTTGGGAAAGAAAATATTATATCCATTCCCATAACCACGAAAATTAACTATATTCATAATTGCAAATTAACCATCCGGTATTATCCATAACCATACCCACCGAATAACGGATTCCCTTTCGGTTAACAGTTATATCCATTTTCGTTAATACAAAAAATATATTCGTCCAATTGACGCATGATAATTTAGTAATTATTAATTTCATCATTAAATATTTGATGTATAAAATGATTTAATTAATGGATCTTGTGGAGCATAAAAATTAAAGCTAAACATTGATAATGTTGTTTGATCTTTGATATCTTCCATAAATACAATTAAATTCTCATAAATTCATATCAAAACTTTTGAACTTTGCGACAAAATGCAATTCACACAATGCAATTTTGTATTCTTAAGGTAATAGATTCGGTGAATAATGAATATACATATATTATATAATACTTTAATATTATATATAATTATAAGAAAGAATAATGAAAATGGCTTGTCCAGGATTGATTTTTTAGTATAAAAATATGGTTTTTCGTTAAATGAACAGTACCGGAAGCTATTCATTAAAGTTTCCGTAATTATATTATATATTATTCGATTCCGGTACGGATGTAGATTGAGGACCCCTATAACCATATCCAAAATCATAACCGAATATTATTCACGGTTTTTCCCCATACCCAATTTATACCTGAATTTTCATACCTAAATTCAATCCATTCGGACGGTTATCCACGGTTATCAGGTTTAACGATTAGAATTGTCATCCTAACCTACGTAAGTACCTAGGGCACTTCTCGGATCAAATGGATTCGGATAGGACAAAAATACAAGGATTTCCAAATTGTTAAGAGATATACTGTATAAGTATGACGTGATTAGATACTCCGACACAAGACTTTCACCAAATTTGGGGGATAAAACGTGCAAAAAAATGTTAATAAAATGGCTACATTTTCTCTTATCAATTCCAATTTCTTACTCTTTGTAAGCACTCTGAAAGGTGCAAAAGAGAGTACAAAAACAGAGGTATTTTAAAATACCTCATTTTGTTTCAACAGTTTTCTTCTTCTTTTTCTTCTTCTTGTGCCGGTCGAACTGACGACCCCGTGGACCTCATGTGAAACACAAAGCCACCAGGCCACAGACAGACCGGCAGTGTCTCTGCTTTGCTTTATTCTATTTGTGGAGGAAAATACCAAAAAGGGTGGAATCGTCCCACTTTCCCTTGTGAATTTTGACTCTGTGTCTGTATTTTTGAAAATTCACAAGAGCTTGTAGCATTGAGTAGCTCAAAGCAATATCTGATGCAGCGAAATACTTACACAGGAGATATAACCTCCTACCCATGTCCTGTAATTGATAGAAGTGTTGTTTACCGTTGAGATTAGGTTAAGCTTTATGCTTTTAATGATTCCAATGGCTTGGAATACTTAAAAGTTCAAGTAGGATAGTGCAGAATACTCTTAATGAAAAGTCACCTATCTTGAGTGAGAAATATATGGATCGCTCTTATGAGAATTTTCTTAAGGGCTTAATTCTCTAAAGCACTCATTAGAAATCGGAAATTGTTCAGAGCTGAAATGAACACAATTGAGCAAACATGGAGTGTCTAAAGGGTATTGTGTGATTACTATTGTCTTGGTTTACACAAACGGCTAAACAGTTTAAAACATCGCGTTCATTGATTAGCTAAGTAGTAATTCACTATGGAAGGTTCAAAGCTAAAAGCTACCTATCCCGATTTAGTACTTTTGCAATTGAATTCTCTCTCTAGTGTTTGCATTATAATTCCTATATAATATTGAGTCAATTTCCATTCGTTTGGGGGATGGTTAGAAAATTTAATAATAATAAATTATTATTATTATATTGATTTATTAGTTGAACGGAAATTATAAGTAGTGTCTTTTGGTGGAAAGACGTGTCTATTCAAATAAACAGTTGCACCTTTTAAATCTTCATAAATAGCCACATGCTTTCCAAAAAAATATATGAAATTCTATACATAAGGAATCCCCCTATAATCTCATTTAACAACTTTTGCAATCACATATTCATTCATATAGTGCAACTGTGATCCATTGGAGGGGGTATTCAACACAATCGTGATCCATTGGAGCATTGTGAATCCAAATGTACCCGAGTGAGAATGCTGACCCTTAAACCTTGTTTATTTCAGATCAAGAACACATCAGTTGAGTTATGGGTTGTAGCATCTCATTGCAACCATTCATCGAAAAGTAGTGGAAGCCTCATCAAGATCTAAGCATTACTAATGTGAGTTTACGGACATTAGATATACAAATAGATTAAACGTTAAACATTAACACTTGAACTCAATTAGTAATAAGTTACACACAAATTAATACCACTTTTGGAAGGTTCATACGAGCAATGTGAGAATCCAAGCAATAGATGCCCCAGGGAACCACTGGCAAATGCAACAATCTCCATTCAACAAAAATCTCTAAATTTCCCTTTTGGTTGTGCTATCACCAACTAGGTTAGTCAAATCACTCTCTCGGCTAAAGCTTTGGTTGACTACTTACAAGAGGCTAAATTCCATTATGAATAGATACAAGGGCCCACTCATCGCGTGGGATATCGTTAATGAAAATTTACATTTTAATTTCTTTGAAAGAAGGTTGGAGTTCTTTGTGCACTTCATGTTATCTCTCTTTCACACAATAGTGTGCCATATTAATTGGAATTTGACGACTAGAAATTATATATATAGGAGGCCTAGATGGGTGGAGGTGTTAGGAGCCGTGGTGGTCCTGCAAAATTTGGGACTGGGGTTGGTTCTGGGTGTTGGTGGGTAGGCGCAGCTGTGTTGCTGGGGGTGGTTGTGCAGGTGGATTTTGGGGAAATTGTTGTTCAGCTGGGTTTCTGCACACTTCAACATAGTTGAATATCAAAGTGCGCGATGAACAAGACTATAATAATAAAAAAATTATTAAACAAATAAGAATGCCGAAACGGCTATGGAACTCCAAAAGTCTACATTACGTCTAATTTTGTTTTCATACTAAACTATAAGCTATATTTATATAGAGCAAAACCTAGAAACCCTAATTAAGATGGACTAGGCCCATATACTAAGAGCAAGTTCACCCCTCCACAGCCCATCTCCTCTCCTCCCCCCACCCCACCACCCCACCCCCAAAAAAAAAAATAAATAAACCCACTCCACCCTATCCAATTAGCTGGGCTTATGTGGAGGCCAGCCAACTACGTAGCCTAGAATAGACTAACCCAGTAACCGGCTCATCTGACGTCAGGCTGATGCCAGCATAACGTTAGACAAGGGCATAAATTTTTTTTGCGCCAGGCGCTTAGGAAACACGCGCTGACACACCCCAATCTCGATATTCCCCAAATACCAGGGTAGGCACATGCTGGCTGACACCCGAGGGTGATGAAACCATTTTAAACATGCATACAAATAAAATATATGCAATTGGAATGATTATACAAAAACAGGAAAGTGTTTAGAGCATACAACTAATTAAGAATAATATGAAAGAATTATTAGGAAAATGTACGAACAAGAGAATTATACCTGCATTGAGAAGACTCGAGGATACATATGCTGAAGTGTCTTGGCACCGGGATCATATGCCTCGATCCTAACCCCTGAGGGGGCGCAAAAACCGAAAAGGTGAGTGGACCATAATTTATAATAATACTAATAGTACGAAAACCAATTTATTTTAGAACTTACTAACCTCCTGTTTTGAAAACACATATATAATACTACATAGTAGGTTTTATAAAAACCCTAGCATGCCATGTAAAACATCTATAAACCATATCTATGAGTACTCAATTAGGGGTATCATAGTCGCCCAAAGGCAGTACCTGTCCATCACCCTAAGGTGAAGCTGAATAACCTGTCCGTCACCCGAAGGTGAAGCTGAATAACCTGTCTATCACCCAAAGGTGAAGTTGTATAAAATAGCATACATCCACACCGACACTAGCCGTGGATAGTGAACCTGTCCGACACTGCTTTCAATAGTGAAGCTGGGGATATATAATACATCATATCTCACTCCTCCGTCATCTGTGCCCTATGGCCATTGACATCTATACTAGTGGTGTGCAGATGTGCCGTATGATAACCCACTAGGTAGTACCAAAAACATATCTCCAAAACTCGTATCAAAATCCAGAGCTCACTAGCTCAAACTTCATGTCATAAATCCAAGATAAATCGTATGCATGAAATCCATAAAATAATTCATGTTCGTAAAACCGTAATATAAATTTTGATTGAAAATCATAGAAATCCATATATGCAAATCCAATAATTCAATACCCTTAATAAACTGTAATTTCGATAAATCAAACTATTTTGTAAACCATAATTATAAAAGTCCATAAAGCACATTATAAATCATATTTAAATCATGAAATATGGAATGCATGCTAGGTTAATATTTTATGAAAAACAAGTAAGTTTAGAAGGGGTCCACTCACAAGTTTTCCATTGCCCATAAGCCGCTCGAACTATCGAGAATAACATTGTTTCCCACCAACGCGTCTAAACACAATTAGAGGCCTTTTAGTAAAACTATACCTGGACGATAGAATTTAGGAAAATGAACAGCGGATTTGGATTTGGCACGTCAAAAAACCTACGGAGGGACCTTGGGTTTTTCCCCTATACGCCGCCACACATGCTGGCCAACCACCCCAACTCGCCGGAAAATCGAACAACTCCAAAAATTCTCAAATTTGATAAGAATGAAGATCTTAATGAGAGGGGCAACTTTTATACCTGGGCC